ATATGAACTACTTTTGGCAATGGGAAGGAAAGGTTGACAAGGAAAATGTGGAAAGAAATATTTTCCCGAACACGGTATCTGCCTGGACATTCCAATTAAAATCGCATCTTATCCGGTTTCTCCCTTCAAACGTTTGTATTTTACTTTGCTTGTGTTTTATTTAATGTGAAACAACAGTGCCAGTGAATACCACCGACCACTGGAGTCAGGGCCCAATTCATGCTGCGGAAGGTATCAACTTTTATTACTGGGGAATGATGCGATCCTCTGAATATGAGACCCACTTATTCTGTGAGTTTTTAATAAATAATCCAAGAAATGTTAGTTCATCCTCCGGAGTAGGTGATTTTGTCTTTTTTAATACGGTACTGAGGTTCTTTTTCCAGTTTTAGAGCACCTTGCAAACTGGGCATGAAATTTAGATCAGTTGCTACTTTTGACGGGACATGTGCGTGTAGACATCAGCATACATGTACTGCAGCTATGTTGTTTATGTGCTTTGTTTGTGCACGTGATAGCAGAGGAATTTGGAACTTTCTGTACAATGTGGATGTAGAGTCGTCTGTACGAGATATTGAGAAACTGTGGGCGACATATAGGATGAAGTGTGTAGGATACCTGGAAATTCTGAATGGTGTATCTAATATTCCTGTGCGGGATACATGTAAAATACTCGTAAATAACGCGTGGAATACGTCCAGGATGGTCTAATGTACTGTACGGGATACCTGTGCTTTATGCCAGAATACTGTACTGGATAGGCTGTTTATGTGGAGTGGCATGCTGTAGGTCTAGGTCTTGCACATTGTACGGACTGGTCGCATTCTGCATGCAGTTTGCGGGTCTGTATTGCATTTAACCGACGAAATATTGTTTGTCATGATATGCAAAAAAGAATTTTATTGACAGGAAATTTAAATTAAAAAAATTCAAGTTCATTTAACGTGTAGAAATCATGTGCAGATCCAAATTGTGAAGTAGACGAAGGATTATACGCCTTCCTCCTCTCCTCCTCCCCCTTTCCCCTCTGGGGAGGGCTGATCGTTTGTCCGAATGTTTACTTACAATGATAATTGTTACGTTAAGCGATTTTTACAAGGCAG